TTCCCTGCTGGCAGTCAAGGGGGAAGGAGCTCTGCCTGAGTGAGAAAAGGGTAGAAGCCTGAATGTCTGAGCAGCATGATATTGGCGAGAGATGGAGAATCCTTGGGGTGGCTCAAATGTTGTTATAGCTGGGCAGCTTGAGCTTATGTTATAGCCCAGGGGTTTGTGTTTTGTTGGCTGTTAGACCGGTGGTTTGGGTAAGGGTATAAGGGGATGGAGGAGGCCTCATAGGGGACTCCAGCCCCAGAGGAGGGGGGCAGCATTGGGAGTGTGCTGACCCCAAACGCCCAGTAAGGCGCTGAGCGAAGCAAGGCTGTGGAAAGCCAGAGCGCCCGAGTATCAGTGAGACATTGAGTAAGACTGAACAACATCCATTACATCTGCAAGGCTTGGGGTGTGGTAAAGGACTGGTTGGAGCCACGTGTAGCCCATAATGCTGAGGGTGCACAGAAACATCCAAGATAGAATGAGCTAGTGTACAACAGGAAACCGTGGCCAAAAGAACGGAAAGGGAGCCTCCCTATAATACACATATAACATCAAAGACATGGCAGGTGAAAATGGAGGATGCCCTTTAGGCAACTTGGCACAGTAAGGTGGGCGTTAGGGGAGAGCATCGCGACCCCCTAGGACACCCATCCTGTTACACACACCAAGTAAACCTGTACTGTGCTCTCCCCTATCTGTGGGCTTGGAAGGTGCAATTGCAGAGTTCTCTTCCTCTGAACTCCTAGTACCTAAATCTATTATCTTTTGGAGTATGGGACAAGGCTCAACCTTTTAGCCAAGACGTTGCCAGCTTAAATCCAATAAGATGTTGTCTTCCTCCTCCTCCTCCCCCATTTTCCTGATTTCCCTCCTAGAAGGCAGACAGTTCAACTGGCAGAAGGCTGAGCTCTGATACACATTTTTATAACCATTCTTTTTGGGTATTTCATATGCAATGCATCCAGGTGTCATGATAATCATCTCTTTGTAAGTTATTAAAAACTAAAACTCTTCAACTTCTTTGCTTCTTCCCCAGTCCCAACCTATCACTGTATTTGTACAGACAAAACATGCCAACTTCCTTTCAAAAGGGCTGGCATTTCCCAACCATTACAACCACACTAAGGAAGTAGGATGAGACAGTTGTCTTGTTTGAGCAGGTGGCATCTACATGGCATGGGTGTTTAACAGCTGATTATGTAACTGAAGTGTTCAGGCTTACTTCTGACTGGCTTCCATCTCCAGCAGGGCAGACAGCGCTGAGGTTCCTTTCTTCCCAATAGGAGGTCCAGGCTGCTCCAGAGAGTGGGTGGAAATTGGACCAGCCATCTGCAAACCCTTCATGGCTGCTCCTTTCTAATCAAAATGAAAGGGAAGAGAAAACAGAGTTAAGATCTATAAGGCTCAACTAATCAACAAGAATGTCATATCACACAACAACCATGTCACCCAAGAGACAATAAAAAAAAAAAAGTTAAGGGCTGGTCTATACAGGGAAACTGAGTGGACTAGCCATTTCAGAATAGAGGTCCATGTGGACACTATTCTGAAATAAAAGGGATTTCATTTTGAAATCAAATGACTCTGTTCACAAAGTGAAGTAATCCTGAATTTTGCAACAGTGTGTCTGTGAAGAAGCTAACTGTGGAATAACTATGAGAGTCTACTTCCTTTGTGTAAACCGGTTCTAAGAGAGAATAACATCTCAACCAGTGCACTAGCATCATGCTTTCACTTATACACTAGGTCTCTAAAATCTAAGGAAGTGCATAGTTCTTCCACATATCCATAAGACACAGTTACTAGTGCTGGCCACATGGTGATTCTAGTCAAACTATTCATTCATTACACATAAGAGATCCACCCATCTGGATCTCTCTGCTGGGGTGCTTGTCCCTCTAGTCACTAAGTCCACAGTGCACAGCTTGCTGGATCTAGAAAAGTGAACTGTTTTACTCCATAAAAGAGAAGACTCTTGCAAATATCATGCCAAAGCAAGCTGCACAATGCAGCCACATTCACCAAGATCCTGTCACAAAACAAGAGTTCTTAAATAGGTGGTTATCAGTCATGTTTCAAAAACAGACTGAATGGAAAGCAACAGGGGCAGTAGACAGTACAGCAGTTTACTCCAATGCAAGCTGATGGGAAAGGTAACTAGAGGAATTAAGTCAGAGAATTAATTTGGCCTTCACCCCACTGAGGGTAATGTAAAAATATTGGCTCACTCTGATCATTCGGTCTGATCGGTGACGCCGACGAATACGATTCAAACCCTCCACAAAGCGGATGAAGCCATCCAAGAGTTGCCATTCCTCCTCATCAGAGCGGGGCTTGTCTCCATATACATCACAGTGGACTTCGCCTTCCATAATGCGCTTTGTGGCAGTTATACAGGCTGGAAGCAGCAGGAACCGTGTCCTCCAGAATTTCAGCGACTCAATAAGACTGGAGAAAGACATAGGGAACAGGGAGGGGGAAAAAAAATAAAAAAGAGACATAAGACAATATTGGGTGCTAGTAACGTGATGAAAATTGGCTGTTTTTGCAGTCTAATTGTGTCACACTGTACACATGCAGGGTTTTTATGATTTAAATGAGTTTATTAAATTGCAAACTAAACCACATCCACATGTAGTTTAGTTTGCAATTTAGCTATTTGCAACGCTGCGGCCTTTTGACAGCTCACCTCCCCCCATCCTGCAAGAGGCAGGCTGAAGGCAGAAGCAGCAAGGGGCCTGATCCTGGGAGAACAGGTGGATGGAGCTAGGTGCTGCCTCTGAGGTGGGGGCGACTAGCACCCCCTAGCACCTGTCTGGGCAGCCCCAGGGCGACTGCTGCTGTGAAGAGAAGGAGCAGGGCCCCCTGCCACTCAAGGCCTGCCAGCAGCTCGTCTTCCAGCCACGGGCAATGGGCAGGGTCCACACTGGGGGGGTGGGAGGAGGAGGAGGAGGAGGAGGATCAGGCCCCTCGCCGGTTTCCCCCTCCCCCACCCCGCGAGCTGTCACCAGGCTGTGAAGTCCCTGAGCTGTGGGGGGAGCCTGGTCTTTCTCTCCACGGTGGCGGCACTCCCCAGGGCTGCCTGGGCAGGGTGCTAGCTGTGCAGGTGCTGCCCCAGCTCAAAGGCAGTACCTGCCAGATCCAACTCTTCCCCCAGCACCCACCTACTAGCAGCCCACCTGGGCAGCACTGCCACAGAAGGAAGAACCAGAGCCCCCTGCACCTCAGGGGCCACCGCTCAGCCCACTGGTAGCTCACCCCCCCGGTCGTGGGAGAAGCAGGCAGGCTCTGCACAAAAAAAACCAAAAAAATAGTATCTGTCCCCTCACCGTAATAGTGATGGAAGCCCCTAAATTGAAGTGGTGGGTTTTTAATCACTGTAAT